CGGCTGGGGCATGCCCACGGGGGTGAGCGGGGCCCAGGGGGGGGGTCCAGCGGGTCCTGGGTTGCGCCACGCCTCTTGCATTGACAGGGTGCATTACTGCCAGCGCCGCAGGCCGGCGGGCGGGGCGGGAAGAGGAAACGACGGGAAGAGGAAACGAGAAGCGCCGCTGGCAGGGCCGCCCTGCCCTGGCTGCTGCGCAGCCTGGGCCGCGACGCGTTGGCTGGTTTGACCCGTTTTGGCAGGGCGGGCTCGGCTTGACGCGGCTCTCCCTCTCCATGTGCGCGCCATGGGGCCCCTTCTTTTGTTGCTGCGCAGTACCAGCTGCCCATGCACAACCGGCTGGTCAAGGGAGAAGCCGCTTGGAAGCTGCAGCAGCCGGGGGTGTCGGTGTAGGGCGGCCGCGGCGGCCCGTGCACGCCGGCGGCGGGCCCGGCTGGAGCGTTTGGTGGGCGACTGCGCCGCGGCGCGGCGTGGGGCGGCGTGGAAGTCGAAGGGACGGCGGCTGCTCAAGGCAGCGCCGGCCCTGCCACTGCCGCCGTGGTCGGGCAGGCCACCCAGCAGCTGCAGGGAACTACAGGCCATTGGCCATGCATCACTCCGCGCCTTGCTTCGATTTTTTTCGGGTATGCCGGTCTTTTGTTGCGAGGCTCTGATTGGTTTGACTCTCCCTCCGCTTGGTGGTTGCAGCGCAGGTTGGCGCCTCGCGCCGTGCAGTCCGACGCGCCCTGCTCAGTCCAATGCGTGCTGCACAGTCTGATGACGGCTTGTGGCTCACTGCATGGCTTTTGCTAGATATTGTGGGCAAAGGCGGGGGCCACGCGTCACACTTCATTGGCATTGACTTGCAGAGGCGTCCAACACATTTGGGTGCGCGGCAGCTCACAAACGGCGGCATTTGGTCTCATTTCTCATCTATTTAGCTGTGGTTGAGTGTAGGGCTCGCGCGAATGCTGCCATTTGCTGTCACTTTACCGACTGTTTCGCATCCAACACTTCCTTGCTGCGCGCCAAGCTCGCCGCGCAAGATGTAGCGCTCCCTCTCTCTTGCTGCAGGCGAGGCGGTCGGCTGCTGTCCCCCATGCTCAACGGATGCCTGCTGCGTTTCAAATGCCACCAGTCTGCGTCGCTGGCCGGCCCCTGGCCGATGCACAGCTCTGCGGCTGTGCGCTTGGCCGGCACACGTGGCTTACGAGCCCGGAACACCATACTAGACAACAACTGCTACAGCCCAGTACTACTTTCTACGCGGCTTTCACGCCGCTGCCCGCTCTCTGCCTGCTCCAAGCTGACACGCTGTGCTGGCTGCTGCGTGCGCCCTGAGCATCGCTGGTCGCCTGTAATACGCTTGCGCATGCCAGCTGCTGATGCAGGAATGGATCGGTGGCCGTGGTCAGGTCTGAGAGGATGTGGTTGTGCGTGTCACCCTCAACCCCGAATCCAACGGCGTCTGAGCTTGCAACAGGAGAGGGGGACAGGGAGCCCCCTGGCGCGTGCAATGGTGCGGCACCTGCTGGGACAGGGACGCACAACCCCAGCCGAGCAACATGGCATCCAATCACAGGGCGAGAAACAACAGAGGCAGATCGAGAAGGCTCGGCTGTCTGGCGAAACAAGGTTCACGCCAACAGCGTCCAGCGCCGCTCTGACCGGCCGGCCGCACAATGCAATCTGAATATCAGTCAATGGCTGCGGTGACAGGTGGGCAGGTGGATGCAGTTGCAGAGCAGAAGCAGCATTACTGGAGGGGCCCTCGGTTCTACCCCTCTTCACAGGGTGCCACAAGGTGTTGATGCAGCTCTCCCTTCTCAACGCCTGATCCCGCCAAAAACACAAGGCACTGTCGCAGTGGCTGCCGCACAGCAGGGCAACAGGTGACGCACCCAAGAGGGGCCGCCCAACACTGGCAGTCTTGCGGACTTGGGCTCTTGCAGGCTCGTTCGCATCGTAGAGTCTCCAAAGAGGACGAGGAGGGTCTCCTGTCACTGGTAACAACTGGTCAGTTGAGCAGGCGCAGCGTGGACAGGTAGCGCTTCACCTCGCTTTGCATGTTCTCTCGCTCTTACTTGTGGTAGAACACCTGCACCCCGTGGCAGTGGACCCTCAGGCAGCAAAAGGCGTGCTCCCACTCGCGGTCGGGCCAGTACTCCCCGCGCTCGATGTCCTCGTCTAGAGCCTGGCAGCACTCGCCGTCTATGGCCTTTGTGAGGAAGTCTATCAGGTCCCCGTAGGCCTTGTCGTCGGCGGGCGGGACCTTGTACTGGAGCGTCTTGTAGCTCAGCACAACGTGGCTGGCCATGGGCATGACGGTTATGACGTACTTGTACGTATCGTGGAGGTTGATGCTGACGGTGCACAGGTTCTTGTCGCACTCCTTGAACTTATCGACCGAGGCGTCGGTGATCATGTGCCAGGTCCATCACGGCTAACAGGGGATGCGCGCTGTGCGTCTGTGAGCGGCTCGGGCGTCTATTGCGAGATTTGAGTGCAATTTCTACTCGGTTGTTGGGCGACGCTGGAATCGCGTTGAATGAATTGATGATTGCCGCAGCGGCTGCCAAACGCAATCGTGCCGAACGCAATCGTCCTGCTTTGGGCCTTTCGCCGCAAGGTGCCCTGGGTCGCCATCAGGTGACAGCGTGACACCTCAGCCGAGAAAGGTGAGGGCGTCCGGGGCGAGCGGGAGGTGCGGAGCGGGGCTGCTGAGGCGGCGGCTTTCTTGTTCTCGGCATGGTGGGGCGTGGACGAGGTGTTTGCCGGCTGTCTGGGTGAGGTGGTGGTGATGGGTAGGGCCGAGCCACTTGATGCGAACTGAGTCAGTTGATCAGGGCCGAGGTGAAAAATACACAGAAGGACGCGACGACTCATAATTTTCTTGTTTATAAAAACATCGTTCTTTTCCAATGCTCCAGTTCTTGTCCCTTTCAGACGCTTTGACGACACGCAGACTGCTGCAGCAGTTGGGAGTGGCGGCTCAGGTGCCGTGGTGGGGTTTGGGACAGTGGGGTTTGATATTGCACCCTAAACCCTGGATTTCTGCATCCGCCGTTTACACGGCACAGCAGATCAGAGTGCCCCTGGCAATAGCACCAATGCAGAACTCAGATGGAAGGCCTTGGCGCGGCATCATTGCAGCCAACACCAGGAGGAAAGCAACAGAGGTGGGTCGCGAGGGCTGGCCTGCCTGGCAAAACAAGGGTCACGAGTCCAGCAACCAGCACCGCTTTGACCAGGCAGCGGCACAATATGGCGCTACGTGAGGGAGGGTGGCGTGCGCATGTGCGTGGCAGCAGCCAGACGGAGAGAATGCGAATGAGCCCGTCAGCTGACCGACGGACCCGCGGTGGTCAAGCCTCAAACCTGACTCAAAAATAGAAATTGGGTAGCTAACAGCGGCTATCCACAACAGCCAGAAGGCCCCATGTGCACACGGCCCACACCGCCTGATATGGTCATGAGGGAAGTGGCAGAAATGGGGCTTTTGTATAAGACACAAGAAACCTCTGCAGTGCTTTCCCGCCTGGTCTTCCACAGGCGTCAGAAAAAGTTTGGGTGCGCGTGCCATCGCGGCCACACCCCCTGTGTGCCTGCCTGCCTGCCTGCCCGCCTGCCCGCCTGCCCGCCTGCCCGCCTGCCCGCCTGCCCGCCTGCCCGCCTGCCCGCCTGCCCGCCTGCCCGCCTGCCGCCCGCCCTGCCTAGAGAAGAATCGCCGCCAACGCTGCGGCCGCCGCGACGGCCGCCACCAGCGAGTCCGCGCGCCCGTTGGCGGCGCTGGCGGCCACCGGCTTGCCGCCGCTTGGCAGACCAGAGAAGCCCGGCGCCTGCAAGCCCGAAGCCCCGGCGCCAAGCCCAGCCCCTGGGACGGCGGGCCGGGCGCCGGCGGCGGCGGTCTGGTTGTTCGCGGAGGGCAGGCCCCCGTTCAGAATGCTAGCGATGAAGTCGAACCAATTCTCGATGCCTGCGAGCGCGGGGTCGTCGGCTCCGGACTGCTGCGATGAGTCCGAGGTCGAGTCACCGCCAGAAGCGTCGCCGGAGGCGTCCCCGTCAGAGGACTGCCCGCTGTCCTCCGCCGGCCCCGCGGCGTCGCCGCTCGACGCGCCGTC